TCGTGACAATGGGATTCACAAATATCAAGAGTTTACTTGCCATATACTGCACAATAAATTATATTCAGTTTTATCGAAAATAATTAACTCAAAAATAATAATAGATTAGTCACTATAGGCATCTATAGTTTCTACTATTCGACAGTCGACACGTCATGCAAAGGAAAGTTTCAAATGAATAAATTGCACATGAGTATAATTGTTTAATATGAAAATTTGACTTTGATTGTATCTGTGATCTTACATTTACTCTTGAGAATGTGAGTGTGTTAGTATAGATAACCAAAAATTTCACACTCGCATTGTCATCCAAAATCAAAGAGTGAGTACTTTTTATTTTTATTTTTATTTTTTGAGGAAGGAAATAGGAGAGGAGAGAACGAGAATAGATATGATTAATTGAGTGATAAGAGTAGACTCAAGAAGAGGGTAGTATAGGCTATAAATTTATTCTCCACATTTATACGTGTGGTGAGATGATTTATTGTTAGTTTATTGTTTTCTGTTTTTAATACAATGTGAGAGAAGATATTTGACGTCACGAGTCATATGATGAGTTACCATTCTATTTGTTTTTATTCTTAGTCAGAATATATCTTTTCTTTTTTTGTTGTTACAAAGCAGGTAGCGCCAAATAAACACAATTTCATTGAAGAATATACATTAATGTCTACTTCTCTTCTTATTCTACCTACAGAAATTATACACCGTATTATTGATCATCTCGATATTAAAATTACTTTATTTTCTCTTAAATATGTCTGTAAACTTTTATGCAAGAATGTTAATTCTTATAATCGATATCGACTCGATTTTCGTTCCATATCTAAATCTAAGTTTCATCAAATTCGTTCCTTTATTCATCCAGAAAATATTATTTCACTAGTTCTCTCCGATGGAGATGAAGCACCTGGCCAAATTGAATTATTTCTTTCACTTTTCAATATATATGATTTCATTCGACTTCGTTCATTAACTCTTATTCAAATAGAAGAGTCTCACTTAATTACATTTCTCAAACATATTCCACTTAATCTTCTCTCATTATCAATTGAACATCAAGATTCACTGAATCTATGTTATGAAACAATTGAACTGCATTCATCTACTATTGCTAAGCTTTATCTTCATGCGTTACACATGCCAACTGCAAATTTCATTATAATCAATATACAATGGCCCATACAATATCCACTACAATATTTAACACTAAACAGATGCTCATGCAAACAATACATCAATATTCTTCATCGTTTACCTCATCTTCAAACATTAATACTGTTAGATTTTAGTATGAATGATAGCGACAGTACTTTTGCTTCATATACTAAATTAGAATTATCATCACAAATAAAATCATTAACAATCAAATCAGATCTTATGTTATTGAATAAGATTCAAATGTTACTTTCACTTACTTCTTCACTCATTCATCTCAAACTAGTGAGTTGTACACGTATATCTGACTCTATCTTTGATGGTTTACAATGGGAACAATTCATCCAAATGAAATTGCCTGATCTTGACAAATTCGAGTTTTTCTTCAGGAGCTTTATAAATACAAATATAACCAAGCATCATATTGAGGAAAGGATTGAACCTTTTCGGTCATCATTCTGGCTTGAATACAAACGTTGGCTCGTTAATTGTACTTGTATTAAAGGTAGAATAGTTGAACTTTATTCAATACCAATATGTGAGTCATCCCAAACGTATGATTTTAAAATAAATAAAGTTTCCTGTTCAACCTTGACTACAACGGGTAATGATGAAGAAGCTATCATGGATAATGTGTCTCATTTATGTGTTAATTTGAGTAAAACACAGATTAATATCATCTCTGAACAGGTACAGATTATTATGTTTTTTTTTGATAAGAAAATCTTGGAAGCAGAGATGTCCATTGCGGCTGAAAACCTGCCGCTGAGGCCACCGCGATGGCTATTTCAAAAATGTTCTAAAAGTTACTTCTAACAAGGTACTGAACTAGCACTCTTGTTACTCTTCCATCAAATTCATTCAGTCTCAAAATATTATATTCATGGACACCGAAATCCTCTACAAATTCATGTAGTTTTGTAATTCGTGTCTAAAAAAAGATGCCACTGCAATGATATTATTAAAATACATCCCATACCATGTCACTTGTTTAAAAAGAAACTGCGACCGCTGTGGACACCTCTGATTCGAAGTTCAGTTTTATTTACAAAATTCTAATAAGATTACATTAGATTGACTTTTCTGCATATAGAATGAACTAACAAATGGACCATTATATCGGAAAATCACAAATCTAAGTCTTCGCTTGGATGATTCATATCCAGAAAAATCCATTCATTATCTTTCATTACTTATCGATATGTCATATCTTGTGCAACTCTCACTGGATTGGACGGTTTGTAAAATATCGCTTCCGATTGTTAAACATATCATCGACAATTTATTACAACGAGCACCTAATGTTCATACACTAGACATAAATTGTGGTAAGTTTGATAACGACTACAAGGATCCTATGGAGATAATTGCTTCAATATTATCAAATAACATAAAACATATCAAACTCAACGTTGGAATATATTCTCCAATGAGATTTATTCTCACACAAGACAAGCCCTTATCGAGTATAATATTTAAATCATCAAATAACCTATCAAAACAATACGATGAAATTATAAATTGGCTACAAAAGAATAATCGTGATTTTACTTATCGTAAACAGGATTCTTCTCTGGGCTTGTGGTTTGGTAACAACAAATAAAAAACTCAATAGGAATAGAAAATAAACATGGATCGTTTAACTAAAATTATAATCACACAAAAATCTAACAGTATTTTTTTTATTCGATAATTCTGTTTTGATCAATTCAAGAGTAACAGAAATTTGTCCTATATGCAAAAACATATCATAAGTTTCTTTTCTCGCAATAAATTATAACACATCACATTGTTTTTTCTTCTTCTTTTATATTTTCGTACATTATGTATTGATTTTTTCATTTGTCTTGTGACCGTCTGTATTAGCTTTTGGTCTTCTCTTTATATATATTCGTAGTTAGTGTTATTAAATAAACTACACTCACGCTCACAAATACACACAACTTACAAAGAGAAAATAAAATTTGATTTGTATCAGGGCTCTGAATGGGACAAAAAAACTTGTTAGTGTACGGCCCCTTGTGGGACCAATGTATAGAACTCACAAACTCTGACTATTATAAATTTATGATATACTGTTTGATGGCTTAAAATAATTGATTTAAAAAACAAATGTCAAATAAATGAATAAATCAAAATTATAACAATATTTATAGTTGATAGGCACGCTTTGAAATTTTATCACTTCGAAAATGTTTACCATTAAAATTATTATTCTAACAATTTATCAGATTCATTTCATATCGATACACTGAAAAGCCTTGTTTGTATTGTCAGCCATGTCTTCAATACATGATGTCTTTTCATCTAATAATATATACGATATACGCTACAGGAATCGGCAAATATCATTTTATTATTCGTTTTATTGGTTTCATCACTGCATTGACTTAATCATTAAGTAAGCTTTGATGCACATTATCCTTTCACTCAACGAACTTTGGTAAATACTCTTGAATTTTACATAAACTTAGTACTTTCACTTGGAAACGTTCCAAAACACACGGAAGTTGTTACGATTTGAATAGGCATATTCAGTAATTGTTATATCATATTTCCCCTCTCGTACAATAGTAAAAGTGAGAGTAGATGATGAATCTTATTGGTCAATACGTAATGGTATAGATTCATTGTGTACGCCTCGAATGTTTGCTTGTAAAATATTTAAACAAGAAAAATTTATGTTTTACTCAATAGAATAAAAAGAAAAAGATTTCATCTGGTTCAGTATGAGATACATTAAAATAAATTTTCTTTTCTTCATTAATAATGACACGCATACGATTTTATGAATCAAGTCTTATAATTGCCCACCATCAACAATCCAGATATGCTCTTAATATAAATATATAGAATGTCCAGAAAGTCACTAGAGATAGAAAATTATCAGCTCTTGTACGATCCGATATCTGTTTTTTCGACCTGGGGACCTAGAAAATCATACATGAATCGCACAACATCGTACAAGATCTTATAACAGGGTTGTTTGATTTGAGCATTGATAAAATTGTTTCTTGCTCAATATACTCCAAAAGAAACTTCAGTCATTATTATTATGATACGAAGGCATGTCTTTTCTGCATGTTTCCACTGATTAACAGATCAAGTGACACACATTCCATCTAGATGACTCTATTAATGAACATATTATTGTCGAATAATATACAAAAAAATTTATGTATAATATTCATTGTGATCAAGTACATCTCTTTCGTGACCCATTTCTTGGTATGCATCCGAATTAGCTCAAACGCAATCGTGATCACATTTCGTCAACAAAAACTATGTCCCTGATAATCATAAAGTATTAATTCGTACGGAATTTGCTTGATTAGTGTTTTGATGAAAAACAACATGTTAGCTAAGTGTTATTGGTAGTAGATGATAGATTCTGCGCATAGCTGACTTGAATTTCTACTAGTGGTAGGTTTTATTTGAGTCTGTTGCGTTCTACCAATGCTAATACTAAGAACAAAGGAAAGATTTTTTTCAAATCTTTTCGTCTAGTAAATCATAACAATTGGTATTGAACAACATCTATACTTTGTTATACCTGAGTTTTTTCAAGAAAGATATAATATCTTTCCTAGAATAGAATGAGCCAAAGGTTCGATTTTCATCCTAGACTTCATATTTCTAGATTTCTTCATGCCTAGATATTTTCTCTGTTGCATGAGGCTAGTAGTTGGGCGTGGACATGAGCGAATACTAGCCTCACACTGCACATTCATGCACTAATTGAATACATTAGTTAGTGCTTAACAACATGTCTTTAAAATTTTGTAGTATCAATCCTTTTTTTTTATTTAGAAGCTTGTGTTCATCAATCAGAACTATATCGATCAGTTTTTCTTTGCGACAAGTTTCGCTCGATATTGCTCTTCTGTCGGTGAGCCACTGAATCGATTGTATAGACGACCTTCGTTAAAATATTTGGCCAATGCTGGACGATTTCTCATTACTTGTTCAAGTTTGTCCAATGCTTGTGAATCTTCATTAGCTGGTAACAAAGCCGAATGAACATCTTTCGCAAGTGTAAACGCATAAAATACGAAATAATCCGCAATAGTTGGCTCATCTTGATCGTAGAAAAACGATGTTGAACTCTTTGCAAGAAGATCATTCAACATCTTGAGATCACCAGCAATTTTTTTCACTAGTCGAGCATATGGATCAGTTGAATCGTCAAAATCTACCTGATTCCAGAGGACCATGAATATATTAAATATAATATCGGTGTAGGCACAGGAGACAACACCATCGATAAGAGCTTGAAAAACAATAGGATCTTCATTGGTTGGTTTCGGTTTACCGTATAAGTCGAATTTACGTGCTATGAATTGCCCTAGAAATGGAGAACAAGTGTTTATGTTAAATGTCTGTATAATTATACGACACTAACAAACCGATAGGTAGAGTTTGTGCAATAATGTGTGTATTGTTCCAATGGAGTACGGGTAGATTACCAAATGGTCCAGAAATGCTTCTATCTGCCTTGCGAGCAGGCCACTCTTCGGCAAATTTTTCGAATAGTTCAACATCTTCCTGATATTCGACATTGGGATATTTAGCTGCAATATCTTCGAGCATGTAGCGAATCGCCTGAACGCGGCCGCGAGCGTTCCAATAGCGAAAGCGGACTTTTATCTTCTCTTGATTTGCGCTCGTCGACATTATATCAGTATGCACTAGAACAATAAAAAATAGTAGTTCTCGCCATCATTTTTTTTTGTTCTTCTTTATATATTTACTCGCTTGCCATAGAAAATAACTCAGTATCTATATACGAGACACCAAATATTTGCTATTGTGTGAAAGCAAACCTATCATAACGCGACACATTTTCATTATTGTGGTTATCATTCTATTGGTTGCCTTTTAGAAGCCACAAAAAAAGAACTACTTTAGGGGTCGCACATAACTGAAGATTGTAACTTTCCAGTTCTTACTCTGTCTGCCTTCCACTATTTAACCGCAACTGTTATCAAAATTATACAGTATATAATCAACGGTAATATGAATTGCATGCATTGTTTTAGCAAGAGAAACTCAAAAAAAGGCGAGCTTGCAAAAATGGTTCCATCCTCCAAGTAGTGTATTATACCTTTGTCAATTTATTAGAACTTCTATGCGATCGTTTATCAGCACATTAAATGTATTCATTAGTTAATAGATAATCATTTTGTTGTTCGATTAATTAGACCACTTTTTCTCAGAAAACAGTCTATGATGACTGTGACATGAAAAAGACATTCTTCGATGCCTAATTGCTTGAGCTTCTATTGAACAGATGAATCCATCCCAGCAAGCAGCTCATGGTCAGCAGTACTTACGATTCACAAATCGTCACTTGAAGGAAATTAGAGACAATTAGATCATGCAGATATATACATAATTCATACAATTATAGCTTGAATTTCTTCAACTTCATAATAGTTAAAAGGTATACATGTGTATAGGGGGCGTGGAGTGTGGGTCTTGTCAACAGCACTCGCATGAATGTTATCTTTCGAGTCGACTGCAAGACGATAGTATGCGTTTGATTCATAGTCATTACTACCAGCTATCTTTACACATATCGACGAACCTTTCCGCCAGGACATGATACCTGGTTCCAGGCGCCGGATAGACATTAGCTGAAATTCTTCTTTCCTTATGGGAGAAGATTCATGCTTCACGACTCGCCCTCACCCTGTCTTCGAATATGTGTAGCGCTTTTGCAAACAGGGAGAAAGAATCCGTGTATGTATACTTTCCCTTCTGTAGAGCAAAGTCACATGAGCGTATATGTCACCGATATCTGAGTAATAAGAAAGAACAGATTTCTCTTTCATTTGCAACGATTGTTCGAAGTGTTCAATAGCGAGATGAAGATAATTAAGACGAACGTGAATCTGACCGATGTCCATTTGGAACACGGCTAAATCAGAATGATTGGCTGGTAGAATTTTTTCTCTGGTGCCATAAATTTTTTGAAATATACAATTTTTTGTAGTTTTTAGGGAAAATTATTCGAAAACAAAAGACTAGTATAAAAATGAACTTGTCGATTTTGCCGCCAGTAAATTCTTTACCACATAAGTTTAAAAGAGAAGTATCCAGTCGTTCAGTTTTTCTACGATAGAATAATTTTTATTTTCCTGAATCGGTCAAAACATTGAATGTATATTTCATTTGTATTAACTGATGTCGTCCAACCGTATTTTCGCGCTTTGCTGAAGTCACCCTCGATATTGAATGGTATATTGACGACTAATTCTATAAATAACATATGCAATTATAAAAGTATGCTGCTTTTCAATCATAATACACAGCGTTCAGTTCAAGTGCTTAATTTATATAGATTATGATAGAAATTTCTCCTAGATTGGTATAGAAGATCTCACCATGAAAATACTCGACTTCAGTCTACTTCTCTTGAGAAACGCTCTATTTTTCATCTTCAACAATGAATAACTATCGCTCTATGCCGCCCGCTGAATTTTTGAAGTGCAAAATAACAGTACTACTCCAGTTTCCGTGAAAATAGCATCAAATCTAGAAATACTATGGGGCCGAGACCGACAGTTAAAATAGTAATCTTGATATTCTAATAACAGCTTTAACTTACACTACTGGCCATGAGTCCCTGGATACGTGGTACTCCCCCACTTTTCGATAATTTTCCAGCAATTTTTTACCAGAGATAGAGCTTAAAAAACTGTTATCGCCAGCACTGATCCGAGCTCTATCGATTGAGATAGTATGGAGTCACAGGTAAATAGAGGTGAAGTTAGTGTTTGAATCATAACTCCATACTATCTCAATCGATAGAGCTCAGATTAGTGCTGGCAATCCCAGTTTTTTAAGCTCTATCTCTGGTGAAAATTTGATGGAAAATTATCGAAGCCGTGGGAAAGTATCACACATCTCGAGACTTATGGCTAATAATGTACTCGTGCTTTATATTTTTGCTGCCTTATGAAATTGAAATGGTACTTTTTTGATGAAGAATATAGTTCTGATAGTTGATGTCTCTATGAATACAACATGAAATTTGCTTCATCCACGATAATAATAATTTTCATTCATCATCATCATCATCATCATCACCATCATCGTCATCCCCATTCTGACATTGTTGTGCTAAGACAAGAGACAAGATCAGTAGAATCCTATCTCAAGCATAGAACAACAGTGCAAATAGATGTAATAGTCATCATTTTGCTTTTCATACAAGAGTATGTTCGCTTCTACAATGCTGAATATAATCCAAAGATGCAGTTGTTTATTACAATTTTTTACAATACATCAAAGCATCTAGAATGTCCAAGTTGATTCTAAATCAATTTTTTTTCCAAATAGTTATTTTCATAGTTTGTCTCCATTTTGATAATTTATTTTAATTCTTTTCAAAATTCTACTGTTTGAGAGACAACAAAAAATGAAATGTTCGACAATCAAAACAAAGTTGAAAATAGAAATAGATGACTAGTTTTTTTCGAACGTTGGTTTTAATTTCCATCAATATTCATCAATTTTCAGACATCCTAAAGATCGTCAGATGAATACATTTTACAAAAAGATACTTGAGGATGTGAGTATGGGTATCAGTGTGCGGTGCGGGTATACACCCACACCCTAGATATCCCGACATGGAGAGGTATATTTTTATGTAAGATAGTCGGTAAGCAAGCGTGTCGTTTGGCCCTTCATCATCTCAACATTTTTTGTTGCTTTCCTTATCTCGACATCATCTAGAACCGCCAACTATCATTTTTCTCTAATATGCAGCCATTCATTATCATAGAATTGATAAAACCGAGTAGTGCGATAGAAAGCGTTATTCATTTCATCCAACTCATACATTAAAAAAATGAAGATCGAGAAGATGGAAATGTTTCATGTCAAACCAAGATGGCTCTTTCTCAAAGTAGTATAATCTAATATTTCTTCAGAATTGCACTCCTAAAAACAATTTTTAGATCACATGCGATGACGGGACAATAGGTTGGGGCGAACCAGTGGTGGAAGGAAGAGCTCAAACGGTTGAAGCTGCTGTAAAAGTAAATTGATAAAATATTTACTAGACGATCGAAAAGTGATACCTTTTGAATTTGCTCCATCTTGTTTCGGCAAAGTTCTGCAAAATTTTGCTCTTCTGGAATCTTCTCAACTGATAGCTGCATATAAAAAGTTAAATCTCTCACTTTTGGACACTTTCCGACTATATAAAATATTTTCAAATTCGCAAGATACTTTGAATTCTATGCAATAAACATTCATCATTATTATACAGGATGGTCCAGAAGTTACCGGGTAGTCTTTGATTACGAATAACTTTTGATAGAAACAAGATAGGGAGGTGCGGTTTTCACCGTTGAAAAGACAATGCTCTACTGAATGCTTCCGTATATTATCGCTAATATAGATTGATTATGAAATAATCAGTCGGCGATCTTTGGAAAAACAATAATAGTTCTATGAATGTGACATAGGATAGAGTGGTCTAAAAATCGTTCGATAATCTGTAATTGAAAATGACTCTTGTTCTCTTCGTTTAAACAAAGCTTTTCGCATCTCTTTCTCATAGTCATTGACTATGTATCTCTGGTCAATTTGTTGTTGCTTCTTGTTCGTTTGCTCTTTTAGCACATACCGTGTTTCTTTTTCTCTTTCCGTTTGCTTTGTACGTCTCTCTTCTTTCAACGCATTACTTTCTTGAGCGTGCGAGGTATTTATAAGTGAAAAAATAAGGAACAAAGGGGTATTTTTTGATAAAAGCGAATGGGAAGCATATATTTGGTTGCTTTTGTTTTCTTTTGCACGAGTGTGCTGGTTGTGCTTAGCGCAAAGAATAAAGTTAATACTCATATTTAGTATTCTTTGTTTCTGGTTCGAACAGTGTATTGTCTTAAGTTATATCTGATGATGGCAGAAGGTCCAGAACAAAGATTCACTACAGAGCAAAGAGTATTTGTGGTAAAAAGTTTTTATCAGACGAACAACAAGACTGAGGCTTGTTGCCTTTTTCAATAAATAATTCAATCGTCACATCAAACGTGACGCCATTGCAGATATTGTTGATCGATTTGAAGAAAGCGGCACAGTTGATGAGAACAGACGATCAGGTCGACCTCCTACTGTTAGTACAGTAGAAAACAAAGTCGCTGTTAAACCTCTTTTTATCAACGATCCTACAACATCAACAAGACGTGCTGCATCTGAGCTTAGCATTTCGAAAACGTCAATTCTACGGATTTTATCTGAGTTGAAATTGCGTCCGTACCGTCCTCGTCTAGTGCAACAGTTGAATGATGATGATCCCGATCGAAGGATTGAATTCTGTGAAAAACTTCTGGCGATGGTCGACGAGGATGATAGTATTCTTGATAAAATTATTTGGTCAGATGACGCAATTTTCAAACTTAATGGGTACGTCAACAGGCATAACTCAGTTTACTAGGCAACCGAAAATCCTCGAGTCCATATAGAAAGAGACTTCAATGTACCTGGCATCTGCGTTTGGATGGGTCTGACATCGTATGATATTATTGGTCAGTAGTTTTTTACTTCTACTGTCACTGGTGAGAGCTATGTAGAAATGTTACAGAATTATTTTCAGCCTGCAACCGCTGACTAACCAAATTTGAATGACTTCTGATATCAACACGATGGTTCTCCGGCCCACTACAGTCGCATTCCTCGCGAGTATTTGGATGAGACGTTTCCAGGAAGATGGATGGATCGTCGGGGTCCAATCGACTGGTCCTCAGGTTCGCGTGATTTGTCACCGCCCGATTTTTTTGCATGGGCTGTTGTAAAAGACGCGGTTTATACAAAGAAGCCCATGTCGATTGATCAGTTACAAGATGAGATTGTTAATGTGTTTCAATAGATTTCAACTGACTTATGTAATAAAGTCTGTCGGTCCGTAGAATCTCGTCTTCACAAGTGCATTGAAGCTGATGGTTTCCACTTCGAACAAGATTATTAACTGATTATAATGTGACTTTCTTTGAATCAAATACTATCTGATATTGATGCTAAATGTGAAAAACACAGCATAGGCGAAAATTTAACAGCAATTACAGATTATCGAATAATTTTTAGACCACTCTATCCTATGTCACATTCATAGAACTATCATTGTTTTTCCAAAGATCGCCGACTGATTATTTCATAATCAATCTATATTAGCGATAATATACGGAACTATTTAGTAAAGCATTGTCTTTTCAACGGTGAAAACCGCACCTCTCTATCTTGTTTCTATCAAAAGTTATTCGTAATCAAAGACTACCCGGTAACTTCTGGACCACCCTGTAGAATGTGGAGCTTTTCAGCTTTTTTTTGTGAAAAAAGTTGATTTTGAGACTGTATTCATCAAAGGAGAAGTAGACATAGCATAAAAGAGGTAGAATGGTTGGTACCTTGCCTTAAAAGAGATTATTCTTCCTATTTCGTCAATTGTCTCAAGTAAGTCTGATATAAAAATCTTTTCTAGGAAATTGCTCGATATTTGATTGGTCAGGTATGACTTGATTTTGAATTAGATTTGTAATATTCTGAATTTGAAAACAGGATCCACGAGATATTGAAAAACATTGGCAAACCATCTATCGAGGCAGTTTCTATCGGTAATTGATTTCTTTTTAATCTTTTTGAATATTCAACTTAAAAGATTTGACAATTACACAGAAATGGACCCATTCTAACAAGTGCTCTGTCGGGCGTTGAAGAGGCTCTGTGGGATATTCTCGGAAAACAGTATGGTGTCTTTTGTTCTTGTTTGCTCTCCTATTTATTTGTGTAGTCTCAATGTTCCCGTGTGGCGTTTGCTCGGTGGAAAGGTGCGCGATCGAATTCGTATGTATGGATGGTTACCATTTGAACCTACAGGTGACTACAATGACTTGAATGCAAAGAGCATCAACGAAAATCCGGAAGGATTTACCGCGTATAAAACATGTCCCTTTGCAGCAATGCAAATGGTTGAACAGCCGCATGTATTACATGCTATTCGAGATAATATTATCCTTCTTCGGGATAAGATCGATAAGCGAATAGATGTTGCGCTCGATTTTCATGGACGAAGCACGCCAGCCATGGTGAGTTGTCCAAATTTATCGATCAGTATAAATGTAAATCATGTTATATTCTCGTCGTATAATTCACATGATCGAAAATGTTGATATTATGTTTATTGGTACGTATACATCTATTCAGACATATGACTTTTAACAACAAAGGTGTTTTGTGTCATACATGGTTCGAAGTATGAATGCTTTACAATAAATGATAACGCAATTATGTAATAGAGAGAGAGTTAGTATTGATTAGTTCAAATGGGTAGGAATAGTCCTCTTTCGATATGTGACCGAATGGGGGAGGTGATAGCGTGATGACTTGGGCGTGATGGGGATTAAGGTCGACTTCATAAAAAGAATTTCAAAAACTGGCGACTCTCTGAAGAGTTAATTATGAAATGAATAAAACAATCTAAAACACCGCATATCATATGGATCTGTGTCTTTTATATGTTTAGAAGAACCAGTATTGCCTGGTGACGTGGCTGCTCTCAAACAGATCTCGTCTTCTACGAGTATTCCCATTGCCACTGGAGAACGTTTGTTCACACGTTGGCAGTTCAACGATCTTATCGAACAACAAGCCGTAGCAATCATTCAACCCGATATCTCCCACTGTGGAGGTATCTTTGAAGCGCGCAAAATAGCTTCCATGGCCGAAGCTCGAAATATTGCTGTGGCGCCCCACTGTCCATTGGGTCCTATTGCTCTGGCATCCTCGCTACAATTGGACTCATGTACGCCAAATGTCCTATGTCAAGAACATTTGACATTAGGTCATGACTACTTGAAAGTCCCGTTTCAGGTAAAAAAAAGAATCTAATTTTTCGTGTAGTTTGAAATGCGATGCATTTAGGTCAAGGAAGGCTATGTGAATGTACCTCATCTGCCTGGACTTGGAATTGAGGTAGATGAGGAGAAAGTGCGAGCAGGAATATTTGCAGGCGATTGGGGTATACCTCAGCTCCGACTGAAAGATGGCAGCTTTGCCGAATGGTAATACCGTCCAGAACTTCTTTTTCCGTTTGTAAAAGATGTTTCTAATGAAATTGTCATTTTCTTGACGACATAAAAGTCTTCAAACATGGATGTGACTTCTCTTTCATGATCTGTATTTCTATCACAATCGACAACTGGATAATGAATGAAGTCAATCGAATTTGACATCACACCCGTACTCACACTCCTAGTTGGAGACTTTTCGAGATAATATTTTTACCTGATATTAGAATGAAAAGTGTGGGCGTTTTTACGAGCAAATAGAGGCAGTTTGAAGTGAGGATGTAGGTGTGAAATGATTATCCGCACTAATCCCACCCACTCTATACCAACGCCCACACTCTACAATGTTGTGAATATAATAACCATCGTTGCAAGTGACGATCCAGCTGGAACAGCATGGAATCTGCTGTATTTGGAGTTTTTTGTCGTCGTAATGAAAACTTTTCGTCAAATTGAAGTCGAATTTAATTTTTATTCTCTCTTCAAAAAAAGGTATTTTTACAAGACGCGTTGCGATTGAACTTTTTTCTGTTAGTGGCTGGACAACTCACATAAGTCAATGTTGAAACGATAAGCCAGCCATTTGCGTAAAAACCAAATTGTGAGTGTTTTAATATGGAATGAAATGAGTTTATGGAGATAAATTGGTCAAGATTTTGTTTAACGGTCTCAATCTCATCACTGATCATCAACTGACAACGATATACGCGCAAAGAGGACTCAGATTGATTGAACTGTAATCGATAATGAATATTGGAAATGAGCGAAAGAACGAAAAAAAATATTTCAATATTTTGTATATTTTAAACTAAAACAGTCGTTGAATCGATGCTGCAATTCTTTCACTAAGAATGAAGATTTTTTCTACTTGACAGTGATGCTAATCGAAGAGTGAAGCATGAAAGCTTGACTTCCTGTAAAACACGATTCACTCTTATTAGCTTTGGTACTATTGATATGCAATGACAGAGCACTAATCAGAGTGTTCTCTGTTCGTGTTCGAAGAAGATCCTGTGGAAGTAAGTATAGTTGCCTTGTGAATTCGGCGGATGTTTTACATTTTCACAAACACCAGAAGTTTCGCAGTTATCATTTTCTTGAGGCTCGTAATTCATGTCTTCTTATGTCTATGCTATGCATAACTCAATTGAATTTCATCAGTTGTTGTTCTGTTCAATGAAAAATGACTAATATCGGTGTAAATTCACCTAAAAAAATGTGTATTTTATTATTTACAATTAGTTCAAGCCTTTTTTGTTCATTCACAAACAAGATGAATTTTTGACTTGATCTCTGCCGCCACCATCACTCTAAAGATGATCATCAAGAGGCTTGACGCCTGCCGATCAAGATTTCACCATCACCATTACATTGTGCCTTGTCTACTAGACGTTTTATCTCTGAATCTATGCGAATCATTGATTTTTTTTTCAATGAAGACTTTAAAAGACTGTCCTTTTTTTTGCCGAACTTTTAATTTTTCAAATAGAATTGTTAAAGACTCTGTTGTTTTTTTCACTATTTTTTCAATTTTCAAAGAAGACTTCGAAACATTCTGTCGAATTTTGATAAAAATTTCTTCAAAACAACAAGCACTCGAATGAAGCAATCATTATCTTGATGATAATGTCGAAAGTATTGATCTGGAAGTGGCTATTACCAGAATTGAGACAAAACTATCGATGTTAATGATAGCAGAAAGCTGCAGATTTTTGCCACGGCTAAACACGTAAGTAAATAATATATGCCGCCACTTTCGTCCAAAATTTCACCTAATCGAAAGCAAAAAGCTATAAACATCTTGAAACTATGCTGAACTTCAAAGCTTTTTTTACTTGACGCTTTTTACTAAAAATCTGCTTGATTTTTTTCGTGCCTGTTGACAAAAAAAAGAGTTCACCGACCGATTTCTTACCGAGTTATATAAGCAGCAACAATAGTGCATCTTGTCGCTAACTGCCGGCAGCGCATTCACTTGGTTATCATTAGTCAGATAGGTGACCATTCTCTTTCTTACCTCCCTCTCTCTTTTGTAATTTTGTGACTCATATACGAAATCAACATTCTAGTGCATTGCTATTTATAAACTGATTCCAGATTCGGGTTCCTCAATTCTGATTACCTTTGGTTAAACCTTTTAAAAAATCGTTATATTTTCCAAAAACACCTCTCCTTCATGAAAGAACCAAATTTGAAGTTTCGATATCACTCGGTTTCTGGATAAATGTGCTGCCTGTTTAACAGTAACTTCTTACCCCTAACTAATGCGAGTTGTCAACATTTTCAGCCAGTTATAAACCAATTCCAAACAGCTCTAGTCAATCTCAGATCAATTCCGACCAATTCCAAATTCAGAAGTAGAATTGGAGTTGGTGCACCCCTATTTGTAGCATTTTCTATTTCCCTAGTCTGTAAACTTTGTTTTGACTCTTTTAAAAAAAACTCATTATGATAAGTAGTGGGATCTTTTCGTAGATTAACATCCATTGATTGAATTGAAATATTATATAAGATGTAAATTACAGATAAATATAATATTAAAAATAGAATATATTACTTACATAAAGTATCATAGAGAAATATGATAATTTAATTTATATTTATTTTAAATGAAAAATTCAAATTTTCAAGCAATAAAAAAACAAAATATCATGCTGGAATAGTATTCTGAATGCATCTCAATTTGTAGTATAATTTGACTTTTGATAAATCTAAATGATAGAAATTGGAGATGCTAACTCGTTATTATCTAAAATGATCTAAATTTCTGTTAAGTTGCCATTAGACATCAATATTTATAAGAGCGACTTAGACTTTTATTCTTATTGTAATGAAACATCATACAAGGTGATATTCAATACTTAATAATTGTTTTTCTTTTCAGAAAATGACTTCTAAAATATCTTCTTCTTTAACATCATCGATGACTTCATTTTTATGTGATTTGATACGTATTCGTTCGGTTTGTGGAATTAATGCTGAACATTTTGTTGCTCAACGAATTTGTGTTGAATGTCAAAGTTTAAAATTAAAATATGATTTAATATCAGCACCCAATGAAGAACATCGGCCAAATGTAATTGTTACTGCTGGTGTGTCTCACTATTTAGTTGATAAGCAAAATTTACTATTCAACTTATGTATTTTAGGAAATGGTCCTTCAAAGTTTTTGTTTGTTGGTCATATGGATACAGTAAATGTTGAAGATGAAACTCAATGGTCATTTCCACCATTCGCCGGTATTATCGATGACAAAACTCAAAGAATTATTGGACGTGGTTCATGTGACAACAAAGGTGGTATTGTTTGTGCTTTGTACACATTGTATTTGCTTCAACAACTTATTGATGGTAAGGTAATTATTTGATAGATAAATGTCTTTCTAATATACACAATACAATTTAGAGCAAAACTTAAATGTCAGTATTCAATTAGCATGTGTTGTTGATGAAGAAAGTGGTGCTTGTTCATCAATTGGTGTTCGTTATTTATTAGATAGAAAATTAATTTCGGGTTCTGGTGCTATCTACGTCTACCCAGGTACAAATGTTACTATTGGACATCGAGGACTATTAAGATTAGCAATTGATGTCAAGGGTGAAAACGTCCATACTGGAAGTGTAGAATGGAATACTAAAATGAAAGGAGCTAATGCGGTTCGTTTGTTTGCTTTTATTTTATACCCAACTTTATCTTTTATTTTCTTTTTTACTTTTAAACAGTCAACTACTTTAGCTCGAATTTTAATAGCATTGGAAGATTATGCTTGGAACAACGATAAAGATCCATCCTTTCCTAATTTAACATTGACTGTAACTCCAGGTACGATTAATTTCTGTTTATATTCTTTCGTTCATTGGTATGATAACTGTATTTTCTTAACATTATCAGCATTCGACATTTATGAAATTTTTAAATAGGCAATAGATGATAACTATACTAGAGATACTTAGAAAGTCATATTACTAATTAGTTTTAGAATGTATGTGCGCTATAGATGTGACTTAACTGAATTTTCGTCCACTAAATTATTTTTGACTGCAAAAGAACGTATGTGTATAAGGCCATTTTCTGGCTCCCAGTTTAAATCAAAAAAATTCCTACCCATAAAGAATCAGGGCATGACCATAGGTCGATCTATTCATATGGTTATTGCTAACAGTAAGAAAATTTCGAAATTCTTGTAACTTCCTGCTACGAGAAAAGGCGCCGCGGGATGAAAATGATTTTTGAAAATCTGCATAGGAGATATGAAAATTTCTAAAAAAAAGTTTTTTTTGCTGCTTGCAATAACCATGTGGATAACTCGAACTAAAATCATGCCCTGATTCTTGCTAGATAGGAATTTTTTATTTAAAAGGTGGTTGAGAAGAGAAAATGATCTTATACGAACATGTTCTTTGGAATATTTACGTTATTTTAAGAAAAAGATGTTTGTTCACAGGTACGATCTTTAATGGTGGTGGTTTTCCATCCGTCGTTCCGTCGAATGCTTCAGCTATGGTTGACATTCGCCTAATGCCATCGACATCTGTTGATGATATTTTGAAAAAAATTGAAAACATTATGAAAACTATAATTAATGAACGAAATGAATTTTATCGTAAAATGACATTTAATTCAACCTCACCTGCTCGATTATCGGCATCTATTACAATTAAAAATCAATTACCAGCTGCAACAATTGATTCAAATCATCCGCTAGTTCTCTCTTGTGTGAATGCAGTTAAAAAGATACTCAGCATTACTCCTACAACCAATGGATGCGGTCCAGCTAACGAAGGATATATGTTAATTGAAAGTGGTATTCCAACAATTTGTGGGTTTGGACCGATTGGAGGCAATGTTCATGGCGTAGACGAGTGGATATCAATTCCATCAATGGCTCAAACAGTTGATATCTATGTTGATATTGTCTCTAATTATTGTCAGTTATTCGGATAATCATTAGTCTTTGGTGATCATCATATTTTCAATGTCAGAGTTTTTGTGTAATTATTACTTGATAAAATATAACGTGACTATCAATTATTTTCGTTCAGCGATCTTATTTCTTTGAGTAAAATATGAAACTTTTCTTGATTTTCATTTTTATATAGATCTACTCACATACTTTCTGACTAATTATCGAAAAGTTTCTTTTCGTAGCAACAAGAACTATTTTAGTTTGTATGTTGAACTATAGTTTATTCAACTTTGAGTTTTGATTCTATTTCCTTCTTTATTTATTTATTTCTGTCTAGAAGTACGCACCCAAGTCGTCATTTTGTGTCGTAATTATCCTATAAAACTGAAAGTCAGAATTTAGTCGTTGAAATGAGAAATGAAAGTATCAAGATTAAACCCAACCAGAGACCGTCACAGGGCACTTTTTTTGTGCCCTGTCCTGCCCTTTGCCCTGTTATGCCTTGCCCTGCCCTGCCCTGGACGATAAAACATAAAATATTTTTTGCCCTGCCCTGCCCTGAGGGCAGGGCAGTACAGGACAGGGCGCCCTGAGGGCCTTTAAATTGAATCTCAACTATAGGATGAATTTATGACATGATGAATAAATCTAATGGGTTTTGTGTTCATTATATATGCCTTGTTTAAGTCATTTCAACAGAATATTATCCATGCGTAGAAACAATCAAAAGTTCGTTTAAATTCTATGAAAACGATACTGTTTTTATATAATTATAATCCTGCTGAGATGCTATGTTTGTCTTTTTAAATTGTCAAGATTATTTTCAAATTTCTCTAGTCGATTAAGATTGAATAACTAATTTAAAAAAATAAAAATTGATAAATATTTTTCATTAATGAGAAAAAATTTTGAAATTTTATCAGCGAAAGAAAACGAAATAATTGACCAAAAGTTACACGATAATCGAGAGAAAATGATGTCATTTGAGTTTATTCTTTGTAAAAAAAAATAACTGGCTTTAATCCAGTATCTTCACTTCTCTTGTACGGATCCAAAGAATAAACAGGATGACTGCAGAAAAATCAGATATTTATCAATGAACTTAGCGATTGTGATTGACTGAACGCTATCATTTTATCGATTTGCAGATTTTCATCGCTACTTACCAAGAGGTTGCGATTTATTTTCTATGTGTTCTAAATACTTTTGATGTGATAACCGTGGTTAAACTTTTTTGAAGTGGGGAGAACTGTATTGTACAATGATAAATTAGAATGAGTATCAAATTTATTAGTTCTGATGAAACCAACTGAAAAGACAGGTTCATCACTGGTTGATGGATGTTGATGGAATTCCATCGATAATAAATGCTTTGAAAGATTCCATTTAGCTTCGAAAAAGGCTTCCAAATAAACTAATGTGAAAAATTAACAGGGCAAAAAAAGTTTGCCCTGTCCTGCCCTGTACTTTTCTTCGGTCGCCCTGCAGGGCAAACAGGACAGGGCAAAAAAAGAAGTTTGCCCTGAAGTACAGGGCAGGGCAGTACAGGGCAACAGGGCAGCCCTGACCTGATGACGGTCTCTGAACCCAACCTTCTGTTGTTAAATGTTCTTCAAGACATTGCCCTAAATTACTAATAGAATCTGAAAAAGACGAAATTATTTGAAGTTAGAAGTATTGTTCTTTCGAGATAATGAAAAAGAGAAACATTAGACGGCATGTTCTCTACTCATCCATAAGATAGTTGACAATACATATGATGATAGATAATGAATCATATAGATAATTAAACGATCAATAGACAGTGTTCTTTAGAAAAATGTTGATACGCATGGATAGAGTTCTAGTGGTGATGAATTTTACAATGGCTATTTATCGATTGTTTTCGCTTCGATCAGGTGATCGATCGAAACATAATTTCCATAATTTACAGCAATAAAAAAAAATGGTTTTAATAAAGTGTAAAAATGTTTGGAGACCATGTAGACATATGCATACAGATTCGTCATTTTCTGTTGCAATGATCTCTAGAACTGCAAGTCAGAAAGTAATCGTTGAAATGAGAAGTGAAAATATCGAGATCAAACTCGAATGTTCTGTTATCAAATGTCCCTTAAGACTTACAGCTAAGTTACAAATAGAATCCGAAAAAGACAAAATTATTCGGAGTTAGAAATTTTGTCGTTTCGAGATAATTAAAATGAGAAGTTAGGGGTCAGTCTCTTGGCTCATGTATAAAACAGCTGTGTGTACAGCTGATCAGAGATAATGAATCATATAGATAATTAAACGATCAATGAATAATGTTCTTTAGAGATCCGTTGATATGCGTTTATAGAGTTCTTGTAGTGATGAATATTATAATGGCTAATTCTCAATCTCGTTATTACTTAAGTCAGCCGATCGATAGAAATAGAAAGTTTCCAGTTTAGAAAGATAAAGAAAGACTGTTTCAAGTAAAACATAAATATCTTTGTAGGAGAAATCGTTTCAGAAAAAAAATCGTGAAGATGATTATTCAGTTTTTTTCGAATAATCGATATTCGTGCTTCGCACCTTATTTCGCATTCTCGACGTACGCATCGAAAGTTCGTATTTTGTATCGCAATGATCTCGAGAATGGAAACTCACAAAATACTCGTTCAAACGCGAAGTCCAAGTATCGAGATCAAACTAATAATATCTTTTGAGTTTTTCTCCAAAGTACATTCAGTTTGGTCAGAAATAGGTCCCAAAAATGACAAATTTGAAAGGACTTTATTACTTTCAAATTTCAAGCTAATTAAAACGAAAAAAAGAAACAAAAGTTAGGCACCACTCTCTTTTCTCCTATGTGAAACAGGTGCAGATACAGCGGATTATAGATAATGAATCATTGAGATGATTAATCGACCAATGATGAATGATTTCTAGAAATCTGTTGATATGCTTTGGTAGAGTTCGTTTAGTAATGAATTTTAGAATGGCAGTATTTTATGTCAGATCTAAGTTGAGACAGCTTTTTGAAAATGAAATTGTTTCTTGGATTTCAGAAAGAGGTGAGACGACTTCTAAGTTCCAGAAAACTTAGACACTAGAATGTGAGAACTAATTACGACGACAATTCATAACGATAATTCGTGTTCGATATGAAATTCGTTTTCTCAATTCTTTCGATTTGTGCTTCGCACCGCATTTCGTATGCATTCAAAGTCCACATTTTGTGGCGCGATGATCTGAGCAACGACACATCGTCTTATATTCGTTGAAACGGAATTCGAGAGGCTGACGTTTCTATATGATACAAATTTTGTCCGATTTTTTTGTTGTATTTCGTTTGCTCAAAATAAAATTCAGATTTTAAAATAATCCATGGATTTTATTTTTTCAATATGGCGATGCAATGTAGTGAGACTTAGCGCTGATCTTATCAACGATTAATTATCTTGAAAACTAATAATAATCTTTTGCTTTATACTGAGTGGCATGTTTTTCAAAAGTAAATTAGTATAAATGTATAAGGACTCTTTGTGATATCAATGATTATGTTAGTAAGAAAATTTAAAGTGGATATTATCAAATTTTTTAAGCAAAAATCTAGACAAAAGATCATTTTAAGAATTTAATATATATTTGCAATACAAATTCTACAAAATTCTTTGAATTAATTTGATCTGAAGACAATTCTTGTATATGGTACAATCTAATACGAATCTCTTAAAAGAATTGTATCATAAATGTACTCAACTACAAATACATTTTTCTTGACATGTACATTCTTTTTGCGAAGTAATACCGAATTATAATAAATCGAAGATAAAAAAAACCAAAAAAATAAATAAAAACTTAGACATGAGCTTTCGTACAGAAGAATACTATAAATTTCATCGATTTTTGATACAGTATCTATTGATTTTTGTTTAGAACAAAAACTCGATTACTTCTCTAAAAACCAACTTATAGTATATACAATTAAACAACCATCAAAAAGATCCCTGTACTTTGTATAATATGAAAATATATTTTTTCGGTAAATTTGACGTTTCGACTAATTCAAAGATTTTACAATTGCATAAATCATGAGTCCAGTGTGCGAGGATGTGCTTTGCACCGAGCTCGCATCATGGGCTTAGCCTGTATGTCATCTAGTTTGTGTCGTTCTTTGTTTGTTTGTTGTATTTACGTGTTCCTTTTCTTCTACTTATCCGTTTACTTCCTTTCTCTTTCTCTTTTCTTTGTTTTTCTTTTGGTTCGTTATTCTCTCAGTATTTCACACTATTCTACTGTGTCACAACAACCTACTTCCTTCTGTTTCCTTCGCCTTACTGTCACTTTTTAACCTATTTCTCTCACTTCATATATTCATACTGGTGGTAGGATGCATGAAATCAAAGTAAACGCATAATTAAAAAAAACCATGTGCTGTTTGTGTATAAAAAAATGTTTCTCGAAATGTGAAATACTCATCATCAAGAATAATCTCTAGAAATCATTCTCATTTTCATCAGTATTTGATACCATTGTCACTTAGTACTCTATAGCAGTCTCCTTGTCTTGAAACAGATGCTCGAATATTATCGAGGATTGATTCATTCATGTATATTCTACTCGTAATATGGTGTGAATATGGTTGCAATGGAGGATGAGTTTTCTCATTGATCACACCATGACGAGATGTATAGAGTGTGATCATTTCATTAACTGATATCATTTTATAACTTCTGACATTCATTGATAAAAAAATCAAATGTATTTTAAATTATTATTACACAATAAATCGATGGTATACAAACTCAAATTTGTATGAGATATATGATTGATATTGAAATTCATGAATTCGATCTCAACCGAAATTGTAAATATTCTTATAAAATATTCAAATATATATTTGATATTTATATTCGTATCTGAGATACAATTTAGTTAACAAGTTCATCTCTATATCCAATGATCTCTGCTTGACCATGCTTGTTGTGTAGAACGACAAAGAACATGTTTCAAAACATTTAATCATTTAAAAAAAAAAATTATGTCGGCAACGGTCGAATGCTCCGTGAAA